TTTCTAAAGGGGGGGGGGGGGGGGTAATTGCAATTATAAAATTAAATAACCATTGGATTGGATCCTAGTTAGACTTGGCCAATGGGCGATTTGTCTAAATGCCCCAATACATGCTTTGCAAATTACGATCATGCCACTCTTATTACTTGAAAAACTCTCGCGCTACTCCTGCTCTGCTACTCCTGTCAAGAACAAGCGAGAGCCCGCCAAAGATTGTGAGATGAGAGTGGAACCACGAAGAATTCAAAACCTGTCTCCCTGTCTCTCGCTCGTTCCAGGGTTCAGCGAAGATGAGTACCATGAAATTTTGCCGCGAATGGTGACCATTGATACATGTTCTTGCTCTGTTCTTCTAATTTCGTGTTTATCCGTTTTCATATCGGGATTTCGCCGCACCTTTCCCGCGTCCTGTAGATTGCAATTTTGTCTCGGATTCGTGGTTGTTTTATAATCATCCTAATATGCTATGCCATTGTTTGATTTCAATCTGGGTACCATTTTTAATGCACTTAAAGCTCCAACTTTTCCCGATCTTTGTCGGAAATTGTGTGGGTATTTTATTTTCTTTCCTGTTTCTCTTTTGGGTTTCAGTAATAACATTTTGTATCCTAAGGAAGACAAGGAGCAAAAGATTCTCCTATACGCATGCCGTAATTGTGATCACCAGGTGATTTTCTCACTCTTCTTGGCTCGGAAAATTAGGGTTTTAGAGTTACGAATCTGCACTTCAGGTTTGGAAATCTATGTTTTGAGTTCAGGACTTACGGGTTCAGGATCAAATGGTTAGATTGTATCGAATTAGAGGCGCTTTCCGTGCAGTATAAAAGGGCCATTTGACTCATGCTCCATGCGAAATGCTGATGGCAGTTGAAACAAGACTTTGCATCTCTATCTGCTACTTTGTCCCGTCAAATTGTTAGAAATCCCCATTTATTAAAAAATATATATATCAGCATTGAGACTTTTGATGTCTGGTTAATTGGATTCATATTGCCTTTTGATGGTTTTCCTCGATCAGTATGTAACTCTCTACTGACTATGTGGAAGGATGACTCTTTGATTTAGTGAATTTTACACGGATATGCTGACTGATTAGTTATTATCACGTTAGTAGCTGGATTTTGTTGTCTTTTTTATATGCTTTCTTGATTTGGGTTCTTAAATTTCGGGTTGATTGGGTTGCAAGCCGGCATGGCCCAGGTTTATAGCTTTCTCTGAGTCTTTTCAGTGATGTAACTGGCAAGATTCTTCTACCTACACGCAGTTCATCGTGCAAATTGTTTCATCTTATTTCAGTACTAGTTAGCAGCAAGCCCTCGGTTGCGGTTGTGTTTTACGTTTATGTGTTTCTGGTGCAACGCTTGCAGTAAGTTGCAGACAACAATTGTGTTTAAAGAAATGAGGTGCATCACTCTGTAAGTGAACGGACTCAGATCCTTTCAGATGTTGCAGCTGACCCAACTCTTCCTCGTACCAAGGCTGTGCGTTGTGCCAAGTGTAAGCATGGAGAGGCAGTCTTCTTCCAGGTGAAATATCTTAAGACTCCTCACTTAACTACATAGTCAATGCAGATATGTTTCTGGTTGTTTCCTTTCCTTGTGGGCCTTTGTTTCTCAATTTGGGAGTTAGGAATTAGCTGGCTGGATGTACAAAAATAGCAACAGACATGTTTTCTTTAAAAAGGCAACGGGCTTTCCATCGTTGCAAGGTTTATATAGGACATCAGAAGGTTTTCGTTTTAGTGTGTTTCATGCAAAACTAAGCAATGATAATTCAGAAAGGCTCTACATGTTTATATATATATATATATATATAGCAAGAGCTGATGAAAACTTGCCGTAGCTAGGCATCAGTCTCTAAAAATGCTGTGGAAAATATTCAGTTGTTATAGCATAAGTTGATTATTAATCGGTGGGAATTTAATATAATACGACGGAATTCCCTTGCAGGCTACGGCCAGAGGCGAAGAAGGAATGACGCTGTTCTTCGTCTGCTGCAACCACCGTTGGAGAGAATAGAGTTATTCTTCCTGTCTGTGTTCAGACATTACCTCTGATACAAGTGCTCTTAAAAGAGTTTGTCTTTAATGTGTGGACGTTGGGGTCTTTTGTGACAATTTCCATTTGTTAATGGGTCTATTTTCTAAGTTTTTTATTTGTGTGGGGCCGATGTCAATGTCCTCTCGTATATCATTATGTGCAGCCGCCGGCTGCTTAGGATAAAAAAATAAGACGACGCATATAATCTTCACATAGATTATAATTATTATTAATCAATATCAATTTGTTAAGAAATAAAAAAACATGGATAACTGTTAATATTCGTATTGTGTAGATGAAACGAAAATATAATTATATATATATGTATATATTGTGACTAGTGTTAAGAGAATATACAAAGTATGATCTTATCTCGAATTTAAATTAAGCATGGAAAGAAACATTCACCCGGATTTCTCCGATCTTCTGATAGATGTAATTGGGTCAAAAGATCTAGTGAACTTCTGAATTATCAAAAAAAAAATCAAATTTGGATGGTTTAGTGGTAAGAAAACATGTAAAGTATATTATTATCTCGGTTCAAATCCAAACGTGGGGAAAAATATTCATCCGAACTTTTTCGGTTCCCTGAGATATGTAATTAGGTGAAAAGACCGGTGAACTTCTGGAAATAGTAAATTCTAAATAAAATTATAATTAGGAAGTGAATAGAATGTAGATAAACCTTACTATTATGAATCAATGAACACATCGTATATTTTTTTCTAGATTATATATGAATTCTTTATAATGATCCTCGCAACAAAAATAATAATAATAACTGTAATTTACAATGTGATCGAATTACTATAAATCAATCCATAGGAACACGCATAATATGGAGAATATGAAAGCAAGGGTTTATATATATACATATATATATATATATATATATATCAATTTTCTTAGACAAAAAAAAATCCAAAATCGAATACAAATGTATTTATCGGAGCTTCTTATAAATCGTAGTATATATAATATAGGGAATATTATGATGTAGTAAGGCTTCCATTGGGCGACTTTATTGCATTAGATGGCTTCGAGGGGCTGCTGTTAGATATAATATCAACAAACCACGCCACAAGTTATACGAAAATTCAAAATAGAGGACCACAAGAAATGTAATAATGACATCGTACGTATAAAATGTAATCTAAAATCAAACTTTTTTTCTCATTTCATGTAATATAATACACACACGATATGTTGATTTCGGCACCTAACAACTACAAGACATATCCAATTAACGTTGAAAAAAAAACAATTTCTTAAATTTCTAGTGTAAGAAAGAGACATTTCTCTACCCATCATACATATAAATATAATTACATATGTAGTTGTTAAAATACAACTTGGTCAATGGTGTGGATAAAATATGTGGAAAAATGATATTTTATACAATACACATATATATACACATATATAATCGTTGGACAATACACGCATCTTCTATATATATATATAAGCATCAGTTTGTATTGTATTATATTTGTTTTTGGCATTTAAAGTTTTCATTTTGCATGCTATAAAAGGGGCATAATTAAGCATGATTCCATGCAAAACCTCATAAAATAGAGTTAGACTCAAGTCTTCTCGGAGCCATGGCTGCACTTCTCCTCCTCCTCGCTCTCTTTGCCACAATCGTCGTTCCATTAAGTCTCTCTCTCTCTCTCTCTCTCTCTCTCTCTCACTCCCCTCATAATTAAGCATTTCACCCATGCATGTACACATACATATATGGCATGATATGTTAATTAATCTAATGATTCTTATAGATATTTGCGTAACATTTCATCACTATATATGTATACACATATACGTATAGGTGGAGAACCAGTGGGAGTGTGCTATGGAATGATGGGGAACAACCTTCCATCCAAACAGGAAGTAATCGGGCTGTACGGACAATACAACATCAGACGGATGAGACTGTACGATCCCAACGGAGAAGCCCTCAACGCCCTCAGAAACTCCGGCATCGAGCTCGTCCTCGGCGTCCCGAATAGCGATCTCCGGTCACTGGCCACCAACCCTTCCGCCGCCAGATGGTGGGTCCAGACCAATGTATTGAACTATTACCCCGCCGTCAGGTTCAGGTTCATAGCCGTCGGAAACGAGGTTGTCCCCTCTAACGGCGGCGGTGATGTTCTTCCGGCGATGAGGAACGTTTACGACGCGATTCGTGGAGCGAATCTCCAGGATCAGATCAAAGTCTCCACCGCCATCGACATGACCCTCATCGGAACATCGTTTCCTCCGTCCGCCGGAGCGTTTCGCGGTGACGTCAGGTCTTATATCGATCCCATCATCAGGTGATTGGATTCCTTCCTTCCCTTTTGCCCCCGAACTCGAAATAAAATAACTCATGTTTTCAGGAAAATATCATATAAATAAATAATAAGATTTAATTTAAAAAGTAAATACAATATTATATACCACTTTTCATAAATAATCCATATTAAAATCAAATTATAAAAAAATAAAATTTAAATAAATGGATCGGTGGGATTTGCTTCCATATCAATAATTGATCAAAAGTGTAAATTTATGAACTGATTCCAAACACTAAAGTTATCTCTTGATTTTAATCAAAGTCTATATGCTAAATAAATCCGAAAAAATATATACGAATAGTTATGTTACGTAAAAAAAATATAGAGAACAGTCAAATATATCCGAATTAAACTGTAAAACTACTACCTGAATATATAGAGAATATATTTTTATTTAATTTCTTAAAACCTCCGTCAAGTCTTATATTTTTTTCAAGTATCTGTAATTATACCCTGAACGACAAATCGGACACCAAACTTATAATCAGATTACATTAGTCAACTAATTTAAAATAGCATATGCATATATTCGATCCACACATTATTATACAATATATATATATATATATAATATTCTAACATTTGTGTTCTTATATATTTACCGATAGTTTTCTCGTGAGTACGAACTCGGCACTGCTCGCAAACATCTACCCGTACTTCAGCTACACCAGCAACCCGCGTGACATATCTCTCCCGTACGCTCTCTTCACGTCGCCGTCCGTCGTGGTATGGGACAACGGACGAGGTTACCAGAACCTCTTCGACGCCATCCTCGACGCTCTCTACTCCGCCATCGAACGGTCGGGCGGAGGCTCTCTCCCCGTGGTGATATCCGAGAGCGGTTGGCCATCGGGCGGAGGGTTCGCGGCCACTCTGGACAACGCTCGAGCCTTCTGCACGAACCTGGCGGCTCGCGTGAGGGACAACAGGGGAACGCCCAAGAGGCCGGGCGGGAGACTGGAGACATATTTGTTCGCGATGTTCGATGAGAATTGGAAGAGTCCCGACATCGAGAAGAATTTCGGGGTGTTTTATCCGAACAAACAGCCCAAGTTCCCCATCGGTTTCTCCGCGACCGGCCGGATAGGTTACTCGGATGTTTACGGATGGGGCAATAACGTCACGTCGTTCAGGAGCGACGTGTGAGAGATGGAGTTTTTATGTGTGTGTGAAGTTGAAAGATAAAGAATAAATAAGTGTACGGAACAAGAACCCTTCATAGGGAAGTGGGCATGTATAATCCGAAGCTCTGTATATTTGTGCGTGGTTTTGAGTGAATAAATATATTGATAAAATTCAATAGTTTTTATTTTGAGTTTTTGGATTTGGTTTTTAGTTATTGAATTTTAATTTTGGTTTTTTTAGTATTTGTAAATCCCAAAAAAAAAAGAGTTTTTGATTTTGTAACTATTTTTTTCAATAAAGTAGTTTTTCTAAGTTTTTAGAAAATAAATCTACAAAAAAGTTGATTGTCAATTTTTTTTTTGGTCTTTTGATTTTAAAAAAAACTCTGAAGACTCCATTCATACAAAATAAAACCATCAACATTCATATTCATTATATATATATAGGCATGAGTGGATGGTTGATTTTGAGGTAAAACAACATATTATCCGCATGCACAATGCTATAAGAATAGCCCAAATTAAGGTCCAAAATGGAATATCGACAGTAAAATGTGTATGACAATGACCTAAGGACCAAAACGGTATATCGATAATGTGTACGATGTACTCTGCCTGTAATAAGTGCTGAATGGTACGGTGTGGAAAATTGTAATGACAAACATCCAACATTCGTGGTCTTGACATATTTTTAAAAACTACTCCGTTCCCCCAAAAGTCAAAAAAATAAATAAAAGGAAAATAAATATGTCAATTTTTAAAAACTTTTGAAAAATATACTAATTTTTTTCGACTTGTTAAAATTTAAAAATTTTAAAAATTTAAAAAAAAACATACATATAGTTTTATTAAAAAAATTTCTAAAAAAATTATACATCAAATAAAATTATTTCGAATACATTATATATTTAAAAAAAATAAAATCTGTGTATTTAAATAGAGATTTTTCCTTGATAATGGCACACAAATCGAACACCCTCGTCGTCATCATTCATCGCCATCTCCTTGGGTCATTTCCTCGGAAATCTAAAGCTCGGTCGCCACGAATTCCCAATCCATCGAAATCTCGAAAATGGATCGTCCCGAATCCGAAATTCTGATCCGGGTAACCAAAGAACCCGGCGGAATCGCCGTCGTCACCATCAACCGTCCGAAATCCCTCAACTCGCTGACGAGGGAGATGATGGTGGACCTCGCCCACGCCTTCAAGTCTCTGGACGCCGACGATTCGGTTCGGGTAGCGATTCTGACCGGATCGGGTCGTGCGTTTTGCTCCGGTGTCGATTTGACGGCGGCTGAGTCGGTTTTCAAAGGGGACGTGAAGGACCCCGAAACCGACCCGGTTATCCAGATGGAGCGGTTTCTGAAACCGATAATCGGAGCGATCAACGGGTTCGCTGTCACGGCCGGGTTCGAACTGGCATTGGCCTGCGACGTGTTGGTCGCTGCAAGAGGAGCTAAGTTCATGGACACTCACGCCAGGTTTTGATCCTTCTCCGTTCTGCTCGCTCTCTAGGGACGTGTTTTTAGTGTTCTACATGCGTCCTGATCTGTCATAATACTGTTAGGGTGAGCGTCAATTGCTTGCAAAGCTTATGAATTTGTGGGAATCATGTGAAAGTTTCAGATCATTTGATTTTCTACGTGCGTTCCGATCAGTCGTATGCTGGTCTGGCGATTCATACTAATCAGAAGCTTCTAATTTTAAGAATCATGTGAACTCATACGAAGTGTATGCATTTCACTTACATGGGCTATGATGTCCTTGTTACTGAAATCTTGCTGGTGATTGAATTGTGAAAATTGTATGGAATGTTGGGAATCATCTGTTTTGAAGGTTTGGGATATTCCCTTCTTGGGGTCTGTCTCAGAAGCTCTCGAGGATCATCGGAGCAAACAAGGCCCGGGAAGTTTCGTTGACTTCCATGCCATTGACAGCTGAGGTAGCTGAGAGGTTAGGGTTTGTGAACCATGTGGTTGAAGAAGGACAGACCTTGACAAAAGCCCGGGAAATTGCTGATGCCATGATCAAGAATGAGAAAGACATGGTTTTACGGATCAAATCTGTCATCAACGACGGTCTGAAGCTCGATCTTGGCCATGCTCTTGCTCTTGAGAAGGTAAAAGGTTCCCCATTTTCATTTTTCTAGCGACACGTGAATCCAGTTGAGCCATTAAAATTATCAGATCAATATCTATATATATGCCGTGGAACGTTCTTGGCAGGAGAGAGCTCATGCGTATTACCGCGGGATGACGAAGGAGCAATTCAAGAAGATGCAAGAGTTCATAGCCGGGCGTGGGTCTAAGAAACCTTCTTCCAAGTTATAGACTTTTGAATCTCAAGGATAGAAAAAAACACTCCATATATGACTATCGGTGGATCTCCAATAATGTCGATTTGTTTCGTTGAATGATATAATACCACAGGCATTTCTGTCTGTGCTGTGAAACGTATCATCGCTCAACACGGTTTTATTGAATCTTGATCATTGAAATGTAGATGAGACCCTTCATTCCTCTCAAGTTTTATTCTGTTCTTTCGAAAGCTCCAATTGCATCTTCTTCACAGGAATGAAGATTACTCAAGAGATTTCAGGTTAAATCCCACAAGTTTCCTTCAAAAAGCTTCTATCTTGTGGAGGGAAAACCAGCTTGAATCCAGGTTTTTGCGTCTGTTCAAGGGTCAGTGTCGTATCCGGATGATTACGAACACGACAGCAAATCCGAAGATGGAAACACAGTCGCGTCCCTGATTCATAGACTCAGCTGCTCAGTTGGAGGAGTAGAAAGAGAAGAGAAGAGATTTTCTGAAGAACCCTTGTCTTCTTTTGTGGGAAATCTGACCAATTCCAATCGAAAACACTTGAGAGACTGATGCTTTAGATGTCCGAATACAATGGAAAAAGAGGTTAAGATATATAAATACGCTAAATATTGAAAAAAAATGTATAGAAAAAATGCCTCAATTTTTTTACACGTCAACATCTTAACGTATCCAAATATGAAATTGTTTTAAATAAAATTGTTATCGATTTAAAAAAATTGAAATATTTTGTTACACTTATTTGTTTAATATATTTATTTATCAAATTTAAAGTTTATTATAAAATCCTGATATTTTTATGAGATTTTCTCTCTCTACCGTAGGAAACGTTTTGTATGAGATTATATTCCGTTTACTAATACAAATTATCCAAAACCGTGTCTGGAATATGAGATTATATCATATTGGTTTGGAACGCAGAAACATTCGCCCATTACCAGGAAAAAAAAAATGCCCAGTGCCAAATTTGCCCCTGAAAATCTAGAGAAATATCGAAATAACCCCAAAACTCCCCGTGCCCGGTGGTCTTCTTTCCATGCGACTATACCGGGAATATAGCAAATATACCCTTAAAATGCTATCCTTACTTCACACCCTACCCTCCAAAAATTAAATCTAAAAAAAAGAAAAATTTAAATGAGTTAAAGACATAAATAACCCTAGATTTTAAGGGAAAGACAAAAAAGACCGGATTTTAAGGAAAAGACAAAAAAGACCATACCTTTTCAATTAAAAAAGGACAGTTTTTTTAAAAAAAAGAAATCCCCATCTCTTTCTCTCGATAAACTCTCACCCTCTCTCTCTCTTCTGTTGAATTCTCTCTCTCTTGTATTATTTCGAAAACTCTCTTTCTCTCTTGTGCGATTTCAAGAACCACTATTTCTTTTTCATGATTTTCAGAAACTGAGGCGATTTTCCTTATAATTTCGGTATCTCTCTTGCGATTTCTATGAAAAATTAAACACCCATGGATCCAAGAACACATGTGCCTTCTACTTCGTTTTCGTCTGCGTCTCAGAACGGTTCATCTTCGTCATCGTCGGACAACGATCTCCCATTAGAAACGGTAGGTTTTTCTGCATATTCTTCTCCATTTTTTTCTTATGTGACCTGATCCTTGAGTAAAATTATTAAACTTATTGGATACTTTAGGATTTCAAAATAGGAATTTAGGGTTTAGGGATTTCGAAATTGAAAATTAGAGTAGATTTCTAAATATAAAGTTAGGGTTTTTTGTTTTGAAATATATAATTTGGGTTTTAGGAATTCGAAATAGAAAGTTAGGGTGTGAACGTGGGATTTCGAAATACCTTAGCAAGTTTAATGTTTTCCTAAGTCGCAAGGTCATGTAGGTCACATGTTATATGAGTCACATAGATTTATATGGTAACAAGATAATATGACTCACAAGGAGCACACAAGTCATACGGATCACGGGTCACGAATCACGGGTCACATGGATCACGGGTCACACGGGTCACGGGTCACAGGTCCAAGGTCACAAAGATCATAATGACGAACAATTATTTTATTTTGCAGCTTCCATTTGTCTACAAATTCGAAGACATTCAGTTTTCTTTCGAAGATCAATACGAAGTGTTATCCCTATGAGACGCTGAAGACGCTTAAAGAAGTATTAACACAGGATGAATGGATGTACTTCGAGAAAGAATCACAGTTCCAACATCTATATATTCCACGCACAATGGGAACCACAGTTAAAGATGGCGCTTGCGGGAGTCCTCATTAACCGCTAATCCATTATTGTGAACTCTTTCGTATTTTGTAAACTTATTATTTATTGTGAACTCATTCGTAGTTTGTAAACTCAGTTTTTGTAAACTCTTTCGTATTTTGGCGCTTGCGGGAGTCCTCATTGAGCACGCACTTATATCTGGTTTGAACAAGAAAACAGAATTCATGTCGATATGCGATGGGACCATACCACTCATCCGTAAAAAATTGGCTATCGATATATTTTGTAATGGTAAAAATGTGTATAACTAACCCGTTATTTATTGTGAACTCTTTCATAATTTGTAAACTCAGTTTTTGTAAACTCTTTCGTATTTTGGATTTTACTTTTACTTTTACTTGGAAATGAGAAAGAAGAAAAAACATAAGTCCAATGGGTCACATGGATCACATGGGTCACATGAGTCACAGGTCACACGGGTCACACGGGTCACATGGGTCACGGGTCACGGGTGAGTCACATGGGTCACATGGGTCACATAGGTCGAATTTATCGAATTAGTGACTTCGCATGGTTATGCAGTGATTAATCATAGATATTAACATCAATAACAACTTTAAAATCATGTTCGTTTCAATTTTCATATTCAAGTCACTCATGCAAATGTATTTCATAAGTGATACTAGTGTTTCATGACAACTTATGAACAAATTGTACTAATGTTCATACAACTCTTACTTATGTTAACGAATTTAACTTGAAGATACCATATTATCATTGTAAAACATCATATAAACCATTTTAACACTTTAAAATCGAGATTTGACCGTATTTTATAAGTGCCACCGAGTCACGGGTCACAGGTGAGTCACATGGGTCACATAGGTCACATGGGTCGAATTTATCGAATTAGAGACTTGACATGGTTATTCAGTGATTAATCATGGATTTTAACATCAATAACAACTTTAAAATCATGTTCGTTTCAATTTTCATATTCAAATCACTCATACAAATGTAATCCATAAGTGATATTAGTGTTTCATGACAACTTATGAACAAATTGTACTAATGTTCATATAACTCTTACTTTTGTTAACAAATTTAACTTGCAGATACCATATTATCATTGTAAAACATCATATAACCCATTTTAACACTTTAAAATCGAGATTTGACCGTGTTTTATAAGTGCCACTAAGTCACGGGTCACAGGTGAGTCACATGGGTCACATAGGTCACATGGGTCGAATTTATCGAATTAGTGACTTGGCATGGTTATTAAGTGATTAATCATGGATTTTAACATCAATAACAACTTTAAAATCATGTTCGTTTCAATTTTCATATTCAAATCATTCATACAAATGTAATCCATAAGTGATACTAGTGTTTCATGACAACTTATGAACAAATTGTACTAATGTTCATATAACTCTTACTTTTGTTAACGAATTTAACTTGCAGATACCATATTATCATTGTAAAACATCATATAATCCATTTTAACACTTTAAAATCGAGATTTGACCGTGTTTTATAA